AGCGAGAAGTCAGTATTTTTTTTGCTAAAGTGATGTGATTATCACAATCGATGGATTTGATGGAAATTGTTAAAATTCCACGATTTTTATGTGTGGATAATTGGAATACAACAGAATAGGATAAAACGTTACATTCATTAGTGTGGATCTACCGAGATACGAACGAAAACGTTTACGGATATAACTTTTTTCGATTGTCACTTATTCGTAACGATCAGATAAATTGTTGATCATGTCAATGCTACATCATTCGGATGTAACAGTGACATGATCAGATTAGTCCGACAACATTTAACACAAAACGGTCCCAGTGCTATCAAGATTAAAGATGTTTTCCATCGTAGTTGTGTATCTCAAAATTAAACATTTTATAAATTTTGTATTCTAATTCGATTATTTTCAAGACGCTATGTACAACAAAAATTAAAACTGTTGACGAAAAATTTGTCATACTTCTCGTTGTTAAAACGCGTATTACAATCAGAATTGTCAACTCTTCTGATTTATCAGAATTTTTCTGATCGCTTTCTGATTTTCTGATTTTTTTCTGATTTTTAGCTTTTTTGATTAGTGCTGGAGAAGATGGTTTCTGGGGAAAAGGCTGACGTAATATCTCCATGTCAGAAACAGAAATATAAACATAAAGCAAAAGCTGAATATTGATTGAAATCATTTGTTTCATTGATTTGCTTTTTCTGTTCAGCTGAATTTGTAACGTATACGTATGAACTGTAAAAAATAGAACAGTTTTCTTCTCCAAGTACAGCTGAAGTTGAATTTCTTCTATAAACCATACGAGACAAAGAAAGAAAAAAAGAGGCAGATGAGAATCAGTTTTAAGAAAAAATTAAGATGTAACCATTTCGTGTTTTGGGCAAAAAAATACGTCTTCTGATTTTTGATACTTTGCTTTCTGATTTTTAGGTTTTTTTTCTGATTTCTTAGGTTTTGAGTTGGCAATCCTAATTACAATAGTGGATTTCGAAACGAAGAGTAAGTACAACCACGGAAGACACTGGTTTTTACGGGTGGATTTGAAAGAAATTTTCTTTCTACAGCAGTTTCACGACGTGAATGACAAGAAATTTATCACATGGGTTATGATCTTTCTTGCCATATTTCAAAGAGAAACAGATGTAATTTGTTCATTTTCTTCACGTGAGTGAATTGCACTATCATAGACATGTACACGTGTGCGCATGGCTAGATCAAGGTCAGTTGACTTGGTGCATGCATGGCTCATGAATTTCATGTGCTGTCGAATAGTTTTTGTTCTCTATTGTGTTACAAAAGGGAAATGCGAAGAAACTATAATATGTGCGATTGCATAGAATAGAACAAAAATACTATATAAACAGAGCATTTCAACAGTGTTATTCTACTAATATTACTTACCTTCTTGTTTTAGTAACATTCGCAAAATACATTTAGTAATGGCAAAAAATTCTATTGAATTTAAATTATTCGCACCTCGTAATAGTGAAGCTAAATTATTAGGTACATTTTCTAATTGGGATGAAATTAAAATGCTAAAAGATGAACATACCGGTTATTTTCAAGTATCGATACCATTAGAAGATGGTATATATCGTTATAAATTTTTTGTCAAATCTCAAAGTCCATCATTATTGGAGCAACCATGGCAATATGTTCCAGATCCTTATTCAACATGCATTGATAAAACAACGTTAAGTACTGTTATTAGAATAAAAAATGGTTCCCGTCTAATTAACAATGATGAATATAGATGGCTATATGATAGTATTCGATTACCTGATAATTCTGACTTAATTATCTATGAATTTCTTGTCGCAGATTTTATTCCACAAGGAAAATTTATTGATGCGATAGCAAAATTAGATTATCTAGTGGAAATAGGTGTTAATGCACTTGAATTAATGCCAGTTCACGATCACAAAAACAAAGGTCAGTAAAACGTATAAACTCAATTTGATAGGAAAAAAATGTTTTTGCTTTTTTTTAGATTGGGGATATTTAACAAGAAACTATTTTGCACTAGATTCCACTTATGGCAGTAGTGAAGAACTTAAACATTTTATTGATCAATGCCATTCAAAAGGGATTCGAATTATATTAGATTGTGTTTTCAATCACAGTGATGCAGGTAAAAGAATCTGATACTTCTTCCGTTCTTCTCTTATTCCGAGAATCGAAAAAAGAAAAGAAGATGTGTCACGAGATGAAAAATTTTTTTTCTGAGTATAAGTTTCTTGTGTCATTTTTTTAGACTGTCCATTACATCTGATCGATCGTGAATATTGGTATTACAAAGATAAACATCATCCAGAAGATTTGGTCAATCATTGGGTAAGAGGAATTATTGCTCATTCAGTTCTTTCTATTCACAAAAAAATGATATTTGACATCTACACAAAAACCACTGTATATTTTCAAAAGTTCAGGTAAGAATTTCTCTTTTTGCACGAATAATTCGTCCCAAATGTCTTCTTCAAAATAAGAATTCTTCAATCTCTTCATCTTCTGTCCTTTGAGCGTAGCATCAGATTTTTTAGATACGCCATAATCGATATGAGACAGCATGTAAGAACTCTCAAAATGAATGGAAACCTACTTTATCGATCACGTTGAGTCTCGTAATAATGGTCGTTTTTCGAACCTATTTTCTTAAGAATAAATATAATATACTATATTTCTAAGAGTTCTTTATTTTATTGTAAACAGATATTTCAACAGCAAAATATTTTGAAAAGTTTCTGAATGTACTGATTTCTTCATTGTAACACGGTTCACACAAACAAACTAAAACATTAGCCTCTTATGGAGAAATCAGTTGAGCTCGTGAAAAAATTTGTAACCTGATCAAGATTGACGCAAGTGTCCTCAAAACTTTAGGTTATGATGAATATATTATATTTTTGAAGATATACAATGGTTTTTGTTTAGATCCTATGAAAAATCTAACTTTCAATAAACGATTTAAAAAGATTTTTTTCACAAAAATAAGATAGCTATCGATTATTTTGATCTTATTTTGTCTCTTCTTCAATTAACTCTTTAGCTGCGGGTCTTTTTTTAAAAGAACACGTTTTTCCGCTTTTGGAGTTTTTTATCTCAAAATTCAACCTTTTCTCAACAAATCGTACATATTCAGATTCAGCGTGTCGAGCTCTATCAGAATATCGAAAAAATCGAAAAAATAAAAAGCGCTCAAGTTTTGAATTTCCTTAACCTTACCATTATTCACTATTACCGACAAAAATCAAATTTAAAAACTATGATTTAATGGTGAATGAAAATCTTTTTTTTCAAAATGTAGAGCACAAAATTCTGCATCAGTAGTGTATGTAGGTAGTGTATGTTTTAAATTTTTTAAATAAAATCTCTAGGTCAGGAAACGCAAAATACTAAAAGTGTCTTAAAATTATGTCCGCTGTAACAAAATTGTTTTCGCCATAACTCGGCCAAAACACGTCTGATCTTGACAATTTTTTGAGATAACATAGTCCTTGACATGGCCTTTCTAACCCTGAAAGACTGCCTGCTAAATGCTGCCACAAAACCAAATCTATGAGTTTTGATTTAACTGGAAACTGCTGTGACGTATATCTGCATCACCGGCAGCCAAAGGGTTAATTAAATCTCTCTCTATCTCATAAGGGTCCCGAATTCAATTATGATAACTATGACGAGAAACTTCAGATTAATCCAACTTTAACATATATTGGAGATGTGATTAAATATTGGATTAAAGAATATCATATTGATGGTATTCGATTTGATGCATTAAAACAACTCGATAATGAAAAAGCTTTAAAACATTTTGATGATATTTGTAAACAGACGATTAAAGACGAAAAACCATTTATAACTGTAGGTGAATATGTACCAGATAGTCCTCAAATTGTTAAACCTCAAGGACCATTAGATTCCGTGTGGCGTGCATCATTTAAAAATGAATTAGTTCCACAATTAATTATTAAAGAATTATATGAAGTAGAAAAAATAGAATTAGCTGTTGATTGTAAACAACAAGGTTATTCAACGTCAGCAAATGTTATCAATTATTTAAGTTCACATGATAATGAGCGTCTTATGAGAATATTAGGAGATTGCCATATATTTGATGAACCAGCATTTCGTTTAGCACTTATTGCACAAACTCTATTGTTAACAGCTGTTGGTATACCAATGATGTATATGGGAAGCGAATTTGCAGAATATAAATTATTAGATAGAGAAGATCCTAATTTTACAAAAAATTCGCATGAACCGCACTGGAGTTTGGCAACTATTGGTAAAACTAAACATTTTTTTGATTGTACGAAATTGTTAACATCATTACGTAAACGATCAAAAGCAGTTCGTAGTGATAATATTGATCTTTTTCATAGACATTGGGCATCTAAAATAGCAGCATATAGTCGATGGTGTGATAATGAACGAGTTATAGTTGTTACATGTTTATCGGAAAAAGATCGTTCTCAACATTATATACCTAATTTTCCAACAGGTAAATATCATGAAATAATAAATGATTCTAATATTGAAGTTACAGATGATGATAATGGTTATACATTAGATTTAATGAAGAATGATGTTAAGGTATTTGAATTAAAAATAGGAAAATAGATAAATAATCCTCTATGTATGCATGTTTTGTTGTTTATTTTACTTAAAAAGTGATTTTTTTATATCTACATTTCGATAGAGTAGTTTGGGGTAATTCTGGACATCTGATGGGAGCTCTCTGGAAATTGATGAGTATTAATTAATGTTATTGAACTTTAACAAGGCGTTTAGATTAGTAGATAGAGAAATGTCCGATCCATCCACTTGTGCAGTGTCGTTTTTTCCTGAGTAAATATGCGTCAGGTACGCTCAAAATAATGTGAGAATTAGAGAGGCTACCGAGAATGACCCCAACCTACTCTAGAGAAATAAAACAAATAGAAAAAAAGAAAACAATATTTCTGATTATACACTACTGCTTGAATGAAATTGGACACAGAATGAAAAACTCGTGTCTACTGTATAAGATTTGAAAACGACATCATCGTGAAAATTCACCAGTAGATCGAAATGGCTGAAACTGTCTAGGATACTCAATACTACATACATAGATTTCTCTTCAAAGTGGGAGAAGTGACGGTGCGCACTAGTTTTCGATTTTGCTCTGGTTCAAGAAAAAGCTTAAACCAGTATGGCGCGAGGGATATTGAATGAGCGAAAGAAAGCACTCAGGTTGCTCTTGAATTCACATCCGTGTACATCGTTTAGTACAAAAAATAATTATAATGAAACGTGTGTATAATTAATTGCTCTTGAAACGGAACTCACAACTGGTTCGTGACCATTTCTACTATCCATTCCATTACTCTAATCACCTCCACACTTTTAGAAACACTATACTACTAATCAATTGTCGCTACAGTCCATCCCGTCGTTTAAGCACTGGACAGTCAGATCACAAAACGCCGAAACCTATGTTTTCTTAGCAAATCAAGCAAGTTTAGATCTCATTATAAGTAGAAGTTTTTACATGATATCAAATTGGAACGAGAAAAAAAAGATTATTATGCGTTTGATTTCTATTTCTCGTTTATTTTTCCCAATCGAAACAACCCAGGTGAACTTACACGCTCTAAACTTGCCATGACCAAGCTAGATTTTCCACGGGCAGGACACGTCACGTGGTCGTGGATGTGACCATGCGTATGACCTGCAAAAAGTCAACTCGCCATGCCATGTGACTTGCTTTTCTGATTGATGATATTCGATCAGGTGGATCATTGGACCACTTTTTCACCGAGAGATAAATAAATGTACCGAACAGAACTTAATGTAAAAGCTTATTAAACAAAAAGAGTAAAATCGCAAAGCTGTTCTTGTCGAAAATATATGCAATTAATCTGCTTTAAACCGTATAGAAAAAAATCACAATGCTAAACACGCGTGTCGCATGACGTCTTACTACTTACTTGACGTGGCTACAACCGTGTGTCCACACTATGGGTGATTCAATTCATATACTTGTAGTGGCCGCGCCATGGATAAACGTAGGGCCACATCACACCGTACATGGCCACTCTGTGTCAGGTATGGTCACGTCAAGGATAAAGCGTGTTAGTGGATCTGGGACCCTACGCAAATTTCTGCATTGTCTTTTCTGATAACGCACTAGCTAAACGGACGCTTTCTTCCAGGATATTCACACTGTGACTTACTCAAAACAATACTACTACCAAATCATTATGCCAAAAGTCATCGAAAATTGACCTTGAAGCGCGCTAGGAAATCCAATGCCATGATGAAACGAAGTCAGAGGATTCTCGCTACATCTGAAAATTGGTAATTACCTATACGTTTTTAAATCCTCTAACGGCTGTACTATCATTGACAGTATGCAGAAAATCCTATGAGTTTAATACGCCTTTATGTAAAAATAAGTGTATAAGCGCAATTACCGAAATTTCGGAGAATTGGTACTGGCTAAAGTAGATCTCGCAGTTCTCTAATTCTTTATTAGGGATGAGCTATAACGGCAAAATATTTTTTTACCGAAGTTTTGAAGTTTATACCGACTGTAAACTGAAGTAGCTGTAAATCGGAACTTTTTGAATGTTTCTCATTCACATTAACTCACTCTTTTCCGTGAGTAAACCTATCCATCATAGTTTAAAAAATAACCTACATACATTATCAAAAACTCTGTAGTCATCGGTAGTTTACCGTCGGTAACGGTAAAAATGTTGTTTTCCGAAGTATTTTTACCGGTTTGAAATTACTGCGGTAAAAATCTGAAGGTGTTACTGAAGCATCGGTAACGGTAAGACGTTTTACCGCTCATCCCTAGCGACAACATTTTCATAGTAGCTAATGACACCGTAGTTGACGATTTTATTCGAGATGAATTAAACAAACTACATCCGTCAATTAAATTTACATTTGAGAAAGAGCAAGACAATAAACTTCCATTCCTGGATGTGTTAGCGGAAAGAACTGATACCGGATTTACGACCAGTGTATTTCGGAATTCTCCATGTTCTGAGCTATGGAAAAAAATTATGTAACAAGATCCATATCTAACAGGGACTGTTATGGATCCGAACGTCCATGGGCGCCCATATGGACCTCCGTGTCTCTGTCATCCATGGGCGAAAAAATACTTGAGAGCTCGTCCATGGGCGCCCATGGACGGAACAGTTGCGTCC